GGAGGTAGACTGTTGTACAGAGTAATAAAAGTATGACTATCGCCACAATTAAGTGAACTAATAAATTCTATTTATTCACAGCTTTAGAACTTGGAAAATACTTCGGGTGGGCATGGTGGTTCATGCCTATAATTCTAGCACTTTGGGAGGTCTAAGCAGGAGGATGACCAAGACCAGCCTGGGGAACATAGCAAGATACCATCTCTACAAAAACAATAAATTAAAAATTAGCCAGGCATGGTGGCGCATGCCTGTAGTCCCAGCTACTCAGAAGGCTGAGGTGGTAAGACTGTGTCAACCTAAGAGATGGAGGCTACAGTGAGCTAAGATCTCTACCACTGCACTCCTACCTAAGCGACAGGACAAGACACTGTCTCAAACAAAAAGAAAATACTTCAGAGATTATTCTCTATAATTTTTTCTTTTAATGACTTTTTTATGCATGGCTCATTAACCAAAAAACACTAAGTAAGATTTTCCAGAACAATAAACTACAGAACATCAAGTGGTTAAGCTATTAAAAGAGGAATATTTAAAAGTAAAAATATTTTTCAGATAATTGTTAATTCTCTTATCATCAGTTCATATCAGAATGTTTCCTATGGGTTTCAGATTTTTCAAAATTAAACTCAAATTTATTTCGGTTTATGCTATTATAAGATAAATCATGGTGCCTTCCAGTCCATGGCAACAATACTGACATACTTCTCACCAACGGAGTCCAGTCACTGAGTGATTCTAAGGCAACAACAAAACAACTTATTTTAACTTGTTCCTGCATTAGAGTCATGTCTACTCAGAGAGCCTCTTAAGAAGTTATTTACATAAATGCTTTTCAGCTCATATAGTAGTCTTGTTACTTGAAATCATAAAAATAAACGCTACAAGAAAAGCTCAAGGTTATAACAAGTCTAAACTAAAAGAGAACCCAGCTAAAGCTGCAATTAATTTTGTTTCCAAATAAAAGGCTGTTTATTAGAGATTCCAATGTCATTCTGACCACCAAGATAAGTGATCGCATATTAATACCAGCATTTAATGCAAAACAGTTTACCAGTAAGATCTTCATGAAAGAATAGACATATTGCTACTCAAAGGCATTAGATTATTTGAGAACTAGTTTTAAAAAGCAATTGCTTCGTTTCTACATTTCTTTTCAATGTGTAGAAAAAAGTGCAACATGGATTAATCTTGTAGTCCAAAACTATTTTCTTTTACTTCCTGTCTACCTCTTAAAACCTTCTTTACATTAGGAAAAAGAAAAATTCAAGATCTTCCTTTTAAACTCTCCATTTTTCCAAAAGACTTACCTTTCATGGAAATCTTCAGTATTTAGTTATAACATTTGAATATATAATCTCCTATATATAGCATTGATCCATTTATGTTAATCATGACAACCTAAATCAACCGTAAATTTCTTAAAATTCATATATTTTCATCTTTTTAAGCTTCTTTCTTCATCAAAGACTTGCCATTCCACTAAGTATGCAGCATGTATCAGTTTATAAATCAACATATACTCATTCTTATTCTCAATTCTCTATTTCTCCAAGTCTACAGTGAGAGTGGCCACTAAAGGCCACAATGTCTTTTTATACCACTGATGTTGAAAGGCAGGATAAATATATCCCTAACTAACCTTTGGAGCTCACTGAGACCAAGAACTACAACTTATTCACCGTGGTAGCAATTTAAAAAATGGTATAGTACTTTGGCCATGGTGGGTGCTTAATAATTATATTGAATTATATTAAGGGGTTTTCCGATGTATTAATAGCATAAAAGACCAAAGAACCCATATTATTTCCGAAAAGTCAAATAAATTATTTAAGATTTTACTAAATTCTAGGAGTAGAATAAAGCTGCTCTTTGACTTTCTAGAAAGCTTGTTCCTCAGTTTCTAATGCATAATCTAATTAAAACCGATTAAGTAATTATAACTAAATAATCATAAAACAGATACCCAAAATAACAGTTCTTCTTGCTGAACAGACTAGAGTTTTGTCAATACTTATTAAAGTGTTTTAAGCAATTATTATTATGTTTGAATTTATCCTACTACCTGAGTTTTCAGGTGACTTAAGCCCACAAAACTTGTATGAAGAAAAGCAATTTCAGAGTAACATCAAACCAAAGATTAATATTGTTGGTGCAGAAATTATGCAAAAACAAAGAACAGAGCTAAAGCAGATTGCAGAAAGGAAAAACAAATACTATATGATGACTGACACAGTGATACAGTCATAACTACTTTTTAATTTTTAATTCCTGTTCCAAGTTAAAAAAAGATCACTGATAATTTATATTTAAAATATATTATGGTCTAAAAGCATAGCGTTGCAAATAAAGGAATTAGAATTCTAAATATAGCAGTGTATATTTAACATGTACTAATTTTAAACTGACAGAATACTGAATATGACAACTGATGAATTAATAGCAACATTCATGTACAGAAACCAACAAACTTTCTAATGTAAAAAGTTTTGTTATTTCTTTATTCAAAAACTACATCAAAGACATGTTCACTCACATATGCAGGATTATCCTATAAAAATAAATGCTGGACAACTGCAAGATGTCATAGGTTAAACATGCCCTATAAATACTTTGTTCTCAAAATACTTTCATGCATATTATGTGAATAACCAACGTTTTCAGATTCAGCTATAGTATTTATGGTTCCTTGTGCAAATCTAGAAACGATATCCACACAAAATTAATTAACAGCCACAACACATCATTTATCAGTCATAAATTTCAGTTTCATAGTGAGAATTCTACTCAAACAAGTCTTTAAGCCAAACAAAGCTTCCAAAATGTTAAGTCAAAATTGTATCTCTAGATCTGTCAGATATTTTCATCTACTGAGTTGTACATTATCTCTGCTTTTTATTCCTCTTATAAGATACCTCCTTTTTCACCTTAAAAAAATCTTCAGTAATGAAAACATAGAAAGTGGCATCAACAGACTTCCTGAGTTACTTTTTTGTGATTCTAACCAAGAACCACAGAGAGGTTGAAGGTTTTACTACGGATCTACTTGGTATCTAAATGTCCATAAAATGATGATGCAAAGCACAACCAGGACCATATGTAGTTTCTTGTCATTTATTCTGTGCAAAAAAAAAAAAAAAGTGAGTGGACGGACATTATAACATAAGGAAGTATGGCTCACAGATGCAGAATTTTGATTAACTACTTTTTAGTCTCAGATTCATGAAAACAGTAAATACGTTTCTGTGCCGCTGTAGGTTTTCCACATTCCCCACCTTAGAAACATCAGTAACTATTAAGCACAATTCTGCCGAAAGAAACATACCCAATTTCATTTTTTAAAGCGCCATAATGTTTCAGATGAAAACACAGTCTGCCAAAGATGTCATATAAAAGAATAACAAAGAAAGGGACAGCATTTTTAGAATTGAATTTCAATGCATAACCCCACCATCTGTCAACCAGTTGTGAAGCAGTAATCCTAGAGAAACCCTGAAAACACGAACAAGTTTTATCCCTGAATCTATATTAACAGCCACTCCCAGGACCTCAGTAATAATTATGTTCTGTCTGTGGAATAACCTACAGGAACGACATTTGCCATTGGCAAACTTAACCCTGGCGACGAATGGCCTATTTTCGCTGACTTATATTAGGTAACAAATGCGGAGTTCAGTTCATGGAAGTAATGGGGGGGGGGAGGGGAAGATGAGGGGGCTCTTGAAATTTGGATTGGAAATTGAATACAGGAGGTTAATCTCTAAAGGCCGGTCATCCAAACAACCCTCAGTCTCCTCCCACTTGGCTTCAGAAACAGGATTACAATTTTGGACCTAGACTACGCCCCACCCCTTCTTTTCCCGCTGCAGCCACCACCACCTTCGAAGTTCCAGCCTTAGCTCTCACGCAAGTGGAGCTGGGACTCCCTCACCGAGAACCGCACCAGGAGCCCTTTCAGTAGTGAGCAGCGCGCTGGGACTCTGCCACCAGCTCCGCGACGCCGCCGGCAGCCAGCCGGGCTCGGGAGACCCCACCCCTCCCAGCCTGGCCCCCGCACCCGCCCCCTCCCGGAGCCGCCGCCTGAGTTACGCAGCCTCAGCCCTGACACCGTCTCTGCTTCTTTCCATCCGGATCACTCCGGGCTGGGGGCCGCGGAGGCGGGGGTAGCGCTGAACAGACAAGTGGGATAGGAGAAGGGGGGGAAGAACCGAAGCAGTCCCAATTTCTGAGAGCCAGGACGCCAGTGGCAAGACCCCGGCCACACACACACTCCCCTGGGGGTCCTGCTCATCGGGTTCAACGCCAAGTGGCTAGAGGGTGTAAGGAAGGAAGGAGAGGTAGGGTGGCGAGAAGGCCCAGAGTTACTGGGAACGACGTTCGGAGCAGAGCAGCGGATGCTTCAGAAAGTGAGAAAGTCCCAGATCCCCTCCTTAGCCCCAAGGCTGCTAGCTGCTCCCGTCGCCTTCCCTGCAGCGAGGCTCGGGAGACTGGGAGGGGAGTCTGAGCCTAGCTTCCCTCAGGCTGCCCTCCCTGGTCTGGCCCACGGCCCAGAACCCAGCCCCTCTTCAGCCCCGACTTGAGGAGGCTGCCAGACTGGCAGCGGACTTGCCAAAGGACTCTGGAGGAGCAAGAGGGCAGAAGAGGAGCATCTTGCACGCTCCGGCCGGGCTGCTCACGACTTCCTCTGCCGACACACCCCCAGCTAACCCTCTCCGCCGTCGTCACACACACAGATTCAGAGACACGCGTGCGTTCACCCTCCCACCAGCCCAGGTCCATCGATTAAAACACTAGTTGATTTCTTCCTGATTAAAAAAAAAAAATAGAAAGTGCAACAGCAACTCCTCTCAGGAGTCCCCGGAGCAAAGAAAGTCAGTCTGCAGGCGTCTTTCTGTAGTTTCCCAGGAGTTTGGAAATCTGGCGGTCTCTACCGAAAATGGGACGGAGACCCCTAGGGGTCGAAGGGCGCCGAACTCCCTCCCCAGCCCAGCACCTCTCACCTCCTTAAGTTCCTTGGCCACGTCCTTCAGGTCGCCCAGGACTAATTCCAGATCCTCCACGATGATCTTGATCTGTTCCTTCACCTTGGTTTTGGAGGCTGCCGGCGGCCCTTCGGCTGGAGAGGACGAGGAGGGGTTCCCCTTAGACTTGGCTGACATTCTTTGGGGGCAAGGGAGGCAGGTCAGGACAGGCGGGCGAGCGGAGGCTGCTGGGTGCCCCCGTCCCTGGCGCTGCTACGGCCGCTGCCGCCCCGGTCCCCCCACATCTTGGGCGCTCCCTGGGCAGCGGCGTGTGGCTGCGCTCCGCGCTCGGCCGGACGGCCGCACAGTGGTGCTGCCATCAACTCCCGAGACGCGGCGCTCGGCGCGGGGCTGCAGACGGGCGAGCAGCGCGCCTGCGCCTCCTCCCGCCGCCGCCGCCCGCCGCTCTCGCGCACACGCGCTCGCACCCCGCCCGCGGAGAGGGGCGCCGGGCCGCCGCGCCAGGGCTGCCGCCTGCAGTCCCCTCGACGTTGCCCTTTGGGGTCTCTCCCAGACCACCTTGGCATCAAGGTGCGGGGAGACAAGTCCGTGTCCTGCTCGCCCCCTCCTCTTGGTTCTGAAATACCCCCATCATCTCCGCCTGCTGTGTGTCATCTCACAACTAGCCTGGATTCCTTCTGCCTCACTCGCTAGCAGGGACCTGGATCAATTCAGAAAGAACCACAGTGGGATCAGGAGTTGGAGATAGAGCCTGTAAAGTGGCCCTACATGTTTATCCAAACCCAAATGATGTCCAGAGACCTCTAATCACTCTCCTGGTGACCTGCGAGTTAAACAGACTTCTTAACTTCTGCAGGTAAAAAAAAAAAGGGGGGGGGGTGCATATAATAACTAATGCTCATCTATTGAAATCATGAATTTAACCAGTGTTCTTGAAAGAGGTACCCTAATCCTGCTAATTCCACAAAGCTAATATCGGGTTTATTAATTTGAAGTCCCCACACCCCAAATCCCCGGTGACTGTCTCAGTTATCTTGGCTGTATGTCTTATCTGGCCCAACTCTTTTTTTCTTTTTCTTTTCTTTTTAACTGTACTTCCTCGTTTTGTGACCTATGCTGATTTATATTTTGAGTGGAGTAGGGGAGACATCCTATTTGGACCTCGTGAAGGAGCTAAGAGTTTGCCTACAACTTCTCTTTCATCCCTTTTAAACCTCCGTTTCAAATCTTTTGCTACTAAACAAATAGGAAACAACTTTCTGACTGTTGTGTCAGAAAGACCCAAGGAGGCAGGTTAATAGGAAGCCTTCGGTTCATTCTCAGTAGGTGTCTACAATTCTCATTAGCTAGAGTTTTAATTTCCTTAGTTGCAAACCCGTGGGCTATTAGCTACTGACCCGGCAGGCTGGCTCTACTTTATTTTCTTCACTGCATACTCCTCCAGATAATTCTTTTAATAGGCTTCCCCTTTTGGTCATCCCTTAGCAAGGCTTTCTGTTTCTTGCTTCTCACACTCTGGGTAACTCCACTGTGCTTCTACACATGAAGAAAATCTTGGCAACAGTCCTCTTCCCAGTTCTGTAGGCTCTTAATCACTCTCTTCGTTCTGGACAATTCATCTTTACAAAATCTTTGGAAGTCATATGTGGAATATAGAAGAAGAAAAAGAACAAAAGGAAAAATTGAAATGTGAAAGTGGTGTCAAAAAAAACTGTTGAAAACTACATTGAAAGATCAGGGGAAGAAATGAAAGGTGAAAAGCAGATGCTGCTGGAAAGACAAAATAAGAGATTATAAGAACAAGCCTGCAGCATGCAAACAGGAGAGAAGAAAAAGAGAAGAAATGATTAGAAGTGTAAGAAATATTCTTGAGTTCTCTGAGGTAGGGAGAATTAGATTCTTTTTAACATCCTTTATCTCTTCAAATCCTTCATTGTATAAAAATATAACATTAAAAATAGTTATATCAGGTTTACAAACTCCCTCAATTGTTAAAAAGGGCAAGAGATAATGGCAGGGAAAAAAAAGAAAGTACTATTCTTCTAGATTTGAATTATTTTTCACTCTTAACAGTAGGCAAGTAGATAAGAAACCCCCAAACTCAAAGTTAAGTGACTTTAGGCAAGGATATTGGTGAGGAGGAAAGGAAATTGTCTTTTCCATCACAGTGACAAAATAATCCTCCCGTAATATAAGAAGAGGTCCATGCTGCTCTGAATCTCATTCACTACAGATTTAAAAAAAAAAAAAAAACAGGGCAGGTGCAGTGGCTCACACCTGTAATCCCAGCACTTTGGAAGGCCTAGGCGGGTGGATCATGAAGTCAGGAGTTCAAGACCAGCCTGGCCAAGATGGTGAAACCCCATCTCTACTAAAAATACAAAAATTAGCTGAGCATGGTGGTACATACCTGTAATTCCAGCTACTCTACTCAGGAGGCCGAGGCAGAGAATTGCTTGAACCTGGGAGGTGGAGGGGGCAGTGAGCCCGAGATCGTGCCACTGCGCTCCAGCCTGGGCAACAGAGCAAGACTCTGTCTCAAAAACAAAAGCAAACATAAAAAGAAAGAAAGAAAACCATACCCCTATGATATGCACTGCTGCTACTGAAACAAATAATTCTGGCTTAAAATCAAATCATAATTATTGCTTAGAAACATACCACCCATCCACACCCATATCACAATTCACTCTGAAATAATGACTATCATCTATCTATCTCTATCTTTATACCATATGGAGTTAACTGAATAGGGAAAAGTTAAAATTGGCTTCCAGGCCCAAATTGAGAAAGCTGGTAGGATTGCAGCAGTGGTATCTGTCCCTATCTTCTAGTCATTAAGGATCACTTAAATCTCCATAAAATATGTCTGAAGAAGAAACTTTTATAAAGAGAGTTAAAAATATTAAGGGGAAGAAGACAGAATAAAGAGGGCGCATGAATATAAATCAAGTGTATTTACTTCCTGCCTTTGTATTACCCTATGGAAAAATCTTTCATTCCCTTGGGTAATCCTAGATTCTCTCAGAGATCAGTATGTATAATGTTTTAGACACCAGCTCTAGAGATCAAACAGCAAAAGTGACACCTAATAAAATTTCTGCTGAATCTTTCTCTGAATTTGTTAATGTACTAGTGCTAGCAGAAATGTACATATCCAGACCAAATTACTTGTAAACTTAGGATAACACAGTTCTTTTTTTTTTTTTTTTTTTTTTTTTGAGACAGAGTTTCGCTTTTGTTACCCAGGCTGGAGTGCAATGGCACAATCTCACCTCACTGCAACCTCCACCTCCTGGGTTCAAGCAATTCTCCTGCCTCGGCCTCCTGAGTAGCTGGGACTACAGGCACGCGCCACCATACCCAGCTAATTTTTTTGTATTTTTAGTAGAGATGGGGTTTCACTATGTTGACCAGGATGGTCACGATCTCTTGACCTTGTGATCCACCCACCTCAGCCTCCCAAAGTGCTGAGGATAACACATTACTAAATAAAGGAGGGTCTTACTCATTTATAGAAGTGATTGTAAACCCAGCATTTTATTTTTCCTGTCTCTCTATTCATCATTTTTTGAGTTTTGTAACAGGAAGAATTGGATAATTACAGGAGATCATCTAGTTTTTGTTTCTTCAGTTACAAGCTTTATCCATATTCTGAAATGTGTGTGCATATGTGTATGGGTGTATGTTTAATCCACTGCAGTTGATCCCTAGTAATTAACCCACAGAAAAAAAACTCTGTGACGCTGACATAATTTTAAATCCACAAAAAAGCATAAGAATATTTCCAAAATATTTTTTCCCACAGTTCAGCATGGCTGGGGAGGCCTCAGGAATCTTACAATCATGGCAGAAGGTGAAGGGGAAGCAAGACATCTTCTTCACAAGGTGGCAGGAAGGAGAAATGCTAAGTGAAGGGGGAAAAGCCCCTTATAAAACCATTAGATCTCATGAGAACTCACTCCTTGTCATGAAAACAACATGTGGGAAACTGCCCCTATGATTCAATTAGCTCCACCTGGTCTCTTCTTTGACATATGGGGCTTATCAGGATTACAAATCAAGATGAAATTTGGGTGTGGACACTAAGCCTAACGATATCAGTGATATAGCTGTGAAAAATTAGAAAAGTTTTCATACATATATTTACTATTAAGCATATTTTATATGTCCAGGCAGTGGTTGGGAAACACTAGTACCCATCAGAACTTGTTAAGAAAAAAAAAGATTACTATACTCCCTGCCCCAGGGTATGTGGTTCAGTATGTCTAGGGTGAGGTCTAAAATGTGAATTTTAACAAATTTCTAGGCTCTTGGTAGGTGACCACTTTGAAAACCACCAATATGAGAAATTAAAATAAAAACTTTAAGTTTCTTTTTACTTGGAATAAGCCTTAAAAATCATCTAGTTAAATTTCTGTTTGTTATAAACCTTAAAGAGTATCTAGTTAAATCTTAAATAAGCATAAATCTAAAGAGCATCTAGTTAAATGTTAAGGCTTTGGTAGGCTAAATGGCATATCCAATATATCCCATCTAGGGAACAACAAATTGAGAGCTAGAACTCCTTGTTCGCTCATACATTTTGTTGACTTTTTTCTATTAGTCTGGAGAATGTCTACTTTTAATATATCAACTGGTTTTCGCATCATGGCTATGTCCTGTTGATGTATATAGGTTTTTAAAAAAGTGAGATCTGAGAGTTTAAATGCAAGTACTCAACATAATATTCTGAGTAATTAGAACTGTGTCTGTTGCAAAAAGGTTGATCAATAAATACTTAGCAAAATGAATGAGTAAAGTGTTTTCTCTGTGTTTTAAAATTAATTCAGTTCAACAAATATTTTTAAGATTAAGCAAGAATCTATGCTAAGAGTAGATGTGCCACTAGGTAAATTACATATAATCCCAGCAGGAACCATTGGATAATTCTCTACATGATGCTAATACAAAGTGGGATTACTTCAGAGTATCTCTTCCTGCCCTCGTTCTTAACTATAGTGAGTTCATTTTATTTGACTTCTGCTATGGTCTGACTGTCCCTCCAAAATTAATTTTAAATCCTGTCTGCCAAGGTAATGGTATTAGAAGATAGAGCCTTTGTGATGTATTAATTCATGAGGACAAACCCCACATGAAGGGGATTAGTGTACTTATACAGGAAATGCCAGAGAGCTTCCTCCCCATTTCCATCACATGAGGCTACAGTGAGACCTGTCTCTAAGAGGAGGCAGACCCTCACCAGACACAAAATCTATCAGTGCCTTGATCTTGGACTTCACAGGCCCCAGAACTGTGAGACATGAATTTCTATTGTTTAAAATCCATCCAGTCTATGGTCCCTTATTATAGCAGCCCAAATGGATTAAGAGATCATCCAGTGTAT